CGGTAGGACGACTGCAGATCTCATGGCGGTTTTATTAGGTATGTATGAAAAGTCATCAACGAATAATAAGGTGCATTTAATGAAAAAGTTATTCAACTTGAAGATGGTGGAAGGTGTTTCTGTTGCTCAACACCTGAATGATTCCAACACTATCACAAATCAGTTGTCGTCTGTTAAAATTGATTTTGATGATGAGATACGTGCACTGATATTGTTGGCTTCATCACCAAACAGCTGAGAAACCATGAGGATGACAGTTAGCAGTTCTGCAGGTAAATCCAAGCTGAAATATGATGATATTCGTGATTTAATTTTGGCTGAGAGGTGCGTAGGAAAGATTCTGGCGAGACCTCGGGTTCAATGCCAAACAGCTGATAAGCCATGAGGATGGCAGTTAGCAGTTCTGCAGGTAAATCCAAGCTGAAATATGATGATATTCGTGATTTAATTTTGGCTGAGAGGTGCGTAGGAAAGATTCTGGCGAGACCTCGGGTTCAATTTTGGCACTGATTGTTGATTCCAGAGGGAGATCACAAGACAAAAACTCAAATCGTGGAATATCAAAATCAAAGTCAGGTCAGCAGACAACTTGATGGAATTGTGGCAAGGCTGACCATATAAAAAGAAACTGCAGGAAACTTAAGAAGAATGAGGATGAAGACTCTAATGTTGTAACTGAAAAAATACAAGATGCACTATTTCTAACAGTTTACAGTTCTGTCGATGACTGGATACTGGATTCAAGGGTTTCTTTCCATGCATATTCCCATCAGAAGTTAATGTGAAATTATGTTGCAGGTAACTTTAGGAAGGTATATATAGATGATAGAAAATCTCTAGACGTGGTGGGGATGGGAGACATTGATATTGCACTCCCTAACAAGAGCAAATGAACTTTGCAAAAGGTCAGACACGTTTTTGAGTTGAAGAAAAATCTCATCTTTATTGGACAACTCAATGAGGGTGGTCATTTAGTGGTATTCTCAGATAACACCTAGAAGGTTACCAAAGGAACATTAGTAAAGACTCGGGATAAGAAAACTGACATACCATATATGACTACAGGTTTACTCAGGCGTGACACATGAGTCAGAGGGGCATTATGAGGAAGCAGAAGAAGAACCATTTCCTGAAAAGTGGCAGAGCGCCAAAGGCAAGAAAACCAGACCTTGTACAGACAAATGGTGGAGAAACACAGAGTTATGAAGAAATTTTGCAAGATAAGAATTCGAGCAAGTGTGAGCTGACCAGGAAAGGGGAGACGGGTTCCTTGCTAGGGAATCAGACTTGGGAGCTGGCAGAACTTCCACCAAGGAAGAAGACATTGCACAACAAGTGGGTGTACCTCGTGAAGACTGTGTTTGGTGGAAGTAAGAGGTACAAGGCTGGACTTGTTGAAAAGTTTTTTCAGCAGGGG